TCAAAAAGATCATGAAAAGATTCATATTTTCTTTTAATTATTCTATTTTTCCATAGACTTTCTGAAGTACTATTACCAGAAACATACTTATGCTACACATACTAACATACTTAGTAACAAAAAAATTAGTTCAGTTTTAGAACCAAAATCCATGCCAATTCCATTTTTCCAAATCCCGTGTATGATTTAAAAAAAAAAAAAATTCTAAAAGTATAATTTAAAACATACTGTTTAGACATCCATGCAGCATGCTCAAAGGACAACTCCGCACTTCCAATTTTTTTCTTACACAAGTCGATGTGTTTTCGGAACTGAGCAATTGCATCCAATGGGGTGTTGTGTTGAAAACATAGCCTACAAATCTGCAAAATGTAAAATCAACCCCAAAATAAAATTGAAAAAAAAAAAATCAAAGTCAAAAGGCATACTCATTTAAAAATAAGTGAAGTTTGAGAATAAGTTTTAAAAAAGAAATTTCCTTCTCTGAAGTTCTTTGCAAAAGAACTGATTTTCTTCATCAGAATGGTTATGCTAAAACCAGAGGTTATGCTAAAACTTTGAGAAATGTAATAAAATGACTCAGAATCTGTACTAGATTTATTCTATAACTTGGACAGATTAACTTTCAGTTTCAGAACTGTCAGAAAGCTAAAGATCTTCTGTAGCACAACTGAAACACAGTTACCTCCATATCAAACAAGGATTACAGAAATTCTCAAAAACTTTTTGTCTGAGATGCTATTTCAAAACAGAAATAATCTATATGTACTTGGGGCAAAAGGAAAAAAAAAAAAAAGAAATGATGCCTAAATTTATTTCCATACACTTGTTACAATTTTCAATTTCATTTTTTAGGTACAAAGGAATACATGAAAAGTAAGGCTTTCATCTACCACTGTCCGCCAGTCATTCAATTTCCCTTTCCAGAGGCAACCAATTTCTGGCATATTGCTTCCTGATATAGTCTAATCTCAGACAAGTATGTGTATACATTTATGTACAAGCTATTACTTTTTAATGCAAATAAAATCACACTAAATATGCTGATTTGTGCCTTACTTTTTTCATGTAACAATATATCCTGGATATCATTCCATACCACTATATAGAGCTGCCTCATTAATAGCTGCATAATGTTTCACTGTTGAGTTATAATTTATATAACCAATCACTTATTTCTGGGTTGTTTCCGATCTTTTCCTATTAGAAGACATAATAAATATCTCTATATATATGGATTTTCAAGTGTTAGTATATACGGCAGATAAATTTCCTGAAATGAAATTCTAGGTTAAAGGGAAAATCCACTTTAAATTTGTACAATCACTGCAAAAATATTCTCTACAGAAGCTATACTAATTTACACTTACACCCACAATTAAGTATCTATTTGCCCACACATCATCAATCCACAGACATCTTTAAAACATGAGTGTCAAAAAATTAAAAGAAAATAAGCAGCCCTCACTTGCCTTCTGGGGCATGTTTCTATGACATACATTCTTAAAATAAAATGCTCAAACAATAGGTAGAAAAGTTTTCTCTGAGGGCCGGCCCGGTGGCGCACTGGATAGTGCGCCGCTTGGGAAGTGCGGTGGCGCTCCC